ATCAATTGCATGCAGTTTGCCTGCTTTCAGCCTGGAAGGACCACTACTACATTGTCAACCATCTGCATGTGAAGAGCAAACTAATAGAACGGTGGAAAATAGCTCCAGAATGGGAAAATCCTGGCCTTCTCAAACCCCTCCTGGGAGACACTCTTGGTCAAGCAGTTTCTGAACAATACAAAGAGGAAGGCGAAAGCTATTTCACTCAAAAAGGAGCATAATGTTTCCAAGTGTAGAGATAAAACAGCTACTAGAAAATGGAGCAACTTTGTGTGCTATTCTTCTCTTCCCAGGCTTTATAGTTGCACATCCTGCAGTGCAGTAAACTGTACCTGTTAGCGCCAATTTGGTTTTTTTAATGTAAGGTACATGGTGTTTAGTAATACAGCGAATGCTGCTCCAGAGCTATGCTGATTTTAAAAGGCCTTTGGTATTGATATAAAACTTCCCATTAGACTTTGAATGTTTTCTGGCCAGTATTTCTAACTTTCTATGCCTCTTCATGTTGTTTTGTTGTTTTTCTTCTTTGATCTATCTATTAAAACACCTGTGTATGTACGTTTGAGGTAGGAAGCCTCAAAGATCCCAGATGCATACTTAAGCAAATGCATGCTTACATAAACATAGGGAAACCCTCACAGAAATTGGCTAAGGACACTCATCATTTGATTAGGTACAGCATGTGGGAAAGGACACTTTGAAATAAGCTTTACTGTGGCTGGCAGGCCTCGCATTTATCAAACAACTCCCAACAATTTTACAGTGATCTATTCTTTTAGAACTGCAGAAATAATGCATTGTTTTGTTTTGTGGGTTTTGGGTTTTTTTATTGACCACTGACCAATCTGTGCTTAAATTAACATTAGGGCATATTAGTTTGTAGGATTTTCTTTTTTAAAAAAAAGTTTAGATTTGACTCTCAGGTTTTAAATGTTTCAAGTCTAATTGTAGTTCAGTTATCAATGCAATTTTACATTCTTAAAGAGTAAGTATAATTGGCACAGAAAGTTAGGTTTTATTGTAATTGTTTTAAACATTTTCTGGTGTTAAATGTTTGTTTTGTTTTTTTTTAATTTGGGATAGATCATAATTCCTAAACAGATAAGATTTTATTATGTCAGCAGCATGTAAATAAAATACGCTTTTTGGATGTAAATCTTAGAAATCCACAGTGATTACAGCATATATTAATTTAAATCTTAATGTTCAATATTGTGTACAAAGAGTAAAACTGCTTGCTTTTTTGTTCAAAAGCCGTAGGAATGTAACTGAAATTACCTAGATTTTAATGAACCTTCTAATACAGTGTACTTTATTATAAAGTAAAATGTTCATATTCCAGAAAAACTATTAATTTGTTACTAAAACTTTGAATCACTTGTTCTCAATTAGTGATTTAAGAGCTCAAAATTAGGGTTGAGTAGGCAGTAAAAGTCAGGTTGGATGATAATAAATTGACCTGTTTATTAAATAGCAGTGTGGAATTAGTCGAATACCTCAAATTTGCATTTTCAAAAATTCTTATTTAAGCTATTTCATGGTAGAAATAAAGACAGCTTTAAGTGCATTTAGAGGCTTCCATTGTCCAGGATTAACACCATTCCAAACTAAATATTCTTTTAAGGGTTGGGTTTTTTGAGGGACAAAGGAAGTGTGTGCCTGATCTTGAAATTCATGGTTCTAATTCAGCCTTTGTACCAATTATTTTCTCATATAAAATATATTAATTTAAGCTACTTGTTTGGATTTATCTTTTTTTTATTTTATCAATTACTCTACATCTATGGTTGGTTATTTACATCCAACACTTTGTCTCTATTTTCTAACTTCTTCTGTGACTTCAAAAAATAAAATAAAATTTCACAATTACTCCTACTTAGTACAATGTTTAAAATCTTTTGTATCTTTTTCCCAGATCCGTTGCTGTTGTTTCTGGACTTGTGAAATCATTGCTATTAAATCCAGTTAAGAATGGTAGCAGCAGACTGCTCAGTTTATTTTAGCAGTGATTTATACATGTCTTGCTAACTAATAGGGAATGTGTTAATGAACAATTTTTCTTTTTCAGGTTCAGTAGGAAGAAGAAACAACATAGGTCTTTCTTTAGATGAGGTTTTTTTCATGGGATCCAAATAACTTCTGGAATGTTTCTGTGAAGCAGTCTGCCTGCAAGCTAGTGGATAGCACTGGTTTGATCTTTACAGTGAACAATCCATAGAATATGAATGGTAAGGCAGTGGAGAACTAGTCCAGGCACAGAAAGTTTACATTGTTAAAACATTATTTGCTTTATCTGAAGATTCCCAGTACCTGACAACCCCTTTGAAATTGCATTAAAATGGGGGACTACGTTGAGACAGTTGACGAGGATTTTTTCTTACCCTTTAAAGGTTCATGTGCTGTTTTTTTGAATTGCTGTTTAATAATTGAAAAAAACACCAAACAACAACAAAAAAATCCCACACAAAATGCACCAAATAGTTTTGTGAGACAGACTATTTTCACAGTCATTTAGCTTGCTGTTTTTCTTGATGTTGCAGCCTTCGCTAATGTGAAAGAACACAATGATTTCAATTTCAGACTTCATCTCTTAGTTACTGCTAGTTCCTGGTTGTATTTCCAAGGCTGGATACTGAAGTTGTAAATTGATATGTTCAATCTGAATAGAAATGGTGTATGGAAACTTTCTAGGCACAGAAAATACTGCTCTATTTTGGAGGGGTTTTTTTCCCCTCTTCCCTTTGCCTGTTTTTAAGGATGGCAAGCATCTTATACTCAGAAAATGTTGCTGTAGTTGTACATGATATATGGGATTAATCAGCTCTGAGATTAATGAACTCCTCTTGGGAAGCAGTAAAATAAAAAACTTTGCTGTTAGCTGAAACCTTTGAGAGGTAAGGAGAAAGTGAGGGGTTTCTTTGTTTTGCTTCGTTCTGGTTTTCCTGACTTTCATGGCTGCAGACCTGGGGCCAGCAGGGTGGACGTTTGTACCCAAAAGCAAAGGAAAAATTGCTTCTAGTTTCTTCTTGGATTAATTGGCACCTTATGGATGAATGGTAGCTGGAATTTGTCTTGGGTGGGTTTAGGTGCTGTGTTGGGTTTTTAAACACAAGATTTTCTAAGAATGAAGGCATTAATATATTAATTGAAAAGTTCAGGTTCAATTTCTACTTTTAAGGAAACCATCTTTTATCTAAAATGGCTGTAGGTGGTGGCCTGGTAGGTTTGGAGTGTTTTCTGAACTCTGAAATCCTTATGGCAGCAAGGTGACAATTCCAAGATTTACATAGCGAGTTGTAGAAAGGGCGCTCAGAGCAGAAGCTGGAAGCCAGCTATTTCACAGAATGGTTAAGAAGGGATCTCTGGAGGTCACCTGGTCCAACCATGTCAGATGGCTTTTTGAGTATCTCCAAGGATGGAGACTCCACAACATCCCTGAGCAACCTTTGCCAGTGCTCGGTCACCCCTACAGTGAAAAAGTGTTTCCTGATGTTCAGAGGGAAGCTCACGTTTCAATTTGCCCATTACCTCTTGTTCTGTCACTGCGCACCATGGAAAAGAGCCTGGGTCTATCTTTGCACCCTCCCTTCCACTTTTTATCTCCAGGCTAAACAGGCCCAGCTCTTTTCCCAGAGAGATCCTCTTCTCCCTTAACCATCTTCATGGCCTTCACCACTATGTCTGTGTCTCTCTTATACTGGGGAGCCCAGAACTTGACACAGCACTCCAGATATGGCCTTACCAGTGCTAAGTAGCACTCTTCTACATGCATTATAACAAATATCCTCTTACTCAGTATCAGGGTCTCTGGTTGATCTTTAACAATACAAGGGTACTGCAAGATAATTTCTAAGGGAAATTACACTTTCAATACAAAACAAACAAAATAATCCCCCAAAGCACCTAACCAAATTTGCAGCCCATGCGTGTGGTCACAGTTACCTCTGCGGAGTGCAAAACTCCCGGCGCTGGCGGGTGAAGAGGGGAGGGGGCCAGGGCAGGGCAGGCTGGAAGCGGCGCCCTGGCGTACGCCTAGCCTCCGTTAAACGGTCTGGCGCGCGGCCGTCACTCCGCACTCACTCTGGAGCGGGCGCCGGCTATGGGGCAAAGTGAATTTCCTGGAGGAAGCGGCAGAGCCATGTCATCTCTTCAAGGCCAGGGGTGCAGGTGGGGCCTGACCCCATCCTTTCTGCCCTGAAAACCAGCGTGAGAAGGTAGGAGTGTAGCCGGAACTTCTGGGCAGGGCCTGTCTCCCTGCCTCGCCCCGCCCCACGGATGTCCCAGAGCTGCCGTTAGTGGTTGATGCACATGGGTCAGAGAGACTGAAACTGTTAGAGGGCTGCCATATCCTAGTCCAGCCAGGGGGACGTGGGTAGCTTGACCCTCATATTGTCTCAGTCTAAATCCAGAAATAGTAGCGATAATAGTGCAAGTGGATCTTGGCCTATGTCTTTTTAATGGTGGCCTTGTGATACTCTGGGTACAGGTGCTTTGGCTTGTGTTGTTTGTAACTGGCAATAGTGACATGGAGAGTACAGGTAGGGTTTGATTTTAATGTGCTACTTACTGACACAAACTTGAAATGGTGTAATTAAGCTGTCTAAGTGTACTAGGTCAATTTTATTGATGATTCTTCTTGACTACTAAAGCCATGTAGTGAAATTCTGATTTAAGTCTGAATGCTGTTAATGTGTTTAAAGATTACAGGGAATGTGTTCTTATGGTAAAAGCAGCTTGTTTGTGGTGACATGGTGGCCTATATTTTCTGAAAGCTAGATTCAGAACCCCAACAACCTCTTCCAGCATTATGTTTTAAGTTTCACATCTAGATGTTAATTGGGTTAATATTCAGTATTTTATATATATGTGCTATTGTTTGGTTAAGACTTTTCATTCACTTCTAGAAAGAAAAAATACTTAGAAGAATACCGAAATAGAAAATTTAATTATCTTCAATGAAAAAAAATAAAAATGAACCAGTTGACAGTCTGTCCGTGACTATGGAGAATCAGATATTGCTTGATATAAGATCAGTAATAGACAGTGGACTTGTAACTGAAATATTTAGTCAAAATAGTCCTATTAGTTTTGAAAACTTTAACCTGGAAACTGCAGTAATTAATAATCCCATTGAAGAAGGATTGCTGTCTACTCAAGACAATCATTTATGCACTGTAAACGTGGGAGAGACTTTGTTAGATCACTTCAAGTATCCACTTACCACTGAAAATCAAAATACAACAGTAAAAGTTGAAGTACATCCACATGAAAACAACAGCTGTGGTGATGATGATCTTGAAACATACAAGGAATTAAATCTTCCAGAAGCAGCTGAACATACGCATTCACCTTATCTGCCTTCAGATGGTGTCCGCTTTCTTTCTTCTGTAGCGATGCAGCATAAAAATTGCAGTATTCCAACTTCAAGCATTTTCTCTCTAGAAGGAACAGTCAATCAAAATGTCAGAATGATACCAGTAAGATTAAGTGAAATAAGAATTTTTATATAGTCATGCTTATTTCTGACTTAAATGTTGGGAATTGCCACATTAAAACTTATATGGGATCCACATGATGCTTAAAATTATGTCATAAATTTTATACTAGAACAAACTGGGTAGTAAATACAGAAATAAATTTCTGTTTTATGTTGCCAGAAATAGCATGCAATGTGAACAAAAGGTTCTGACTGTTGTTCTTTTGTCTATGTTATGAGCCATATTTTTAAATGACTGGGTAGTTATTTTGCTCCTTAAAAAAAATCTTACCATGTCACAAATATATGCACTTTGGGTTTGTATATTACCATCTATATTAGCAATTATTAGGTAATTGTACAAAGGACAAATAGGATATTAACTTTTGTTTTATAGTTGCACAGGTGACACACTTACAATCTTAAAATTTATAGTCCAAACAAGTTAATTTATTTGCAGCAGTAAACTGTAGCCTGTATCGTTAAATCTCAATGGGGAAAGTAGTTTTGTAAGAGAAAGGGGTTTCTGTATAGGTAGAAGTTACATTTTCTATGTAGTATCAATTAGTAACGAGAAAGGTACACCACATAAAACTTCGTGTGAAGCTCACAGGACCATCTGCTTAATGCAGGCTGTTCATATGTAGAATACTTATGTGTCCTTGCATCTTTGTTTATGGCTGTAGAATATCATCTGAAGAAATCTCCAAATTTTAAGTTTGTACTGTGGCTGCTTCTGGAAGGGTACTGAGGTTTTATCTGAGAAGCTTCCTTGAAATAATTAAGCATACTAGTTGACATTTTTTTCTATGTAAATATTTTGACAAACAGTGCTGTTCTCAGATGCAAAAATCAAAAACTTTAAAAAAACCTCCAGAATTCACAAAGATCGCTTGGTTGAAAATGAGGTCTGAATTTCCCTAGCAGTATCCCACTGAGGTGCCAGGCTGAAGCCAGGTGGCACATGCCAGGCTGTCTGTGCAGGAAATCTCCTGTCAGAGAAATCATTGCTGACACTACCCAGTCCAGTGTGTTTCCCAATGGCATTTCATCCTGAGATGCTTGAGGTCTATCATGATGGTTACCTCACATGTTTTGGTTTTCTTTTTGATTTCAGGTTACAGTTATAATTTAAAAGTATCTCTGGCTTGGAAGGTTGTTTACACACATGCTCAAAGTTATTAGTAGTTCTTTAATAATTGAGACCTTCAATCTTTTGAACCGTTAATAAGATTCAAAAGACTGGTAGAAGCCTGTGGAAAATAAAGATTTGATAAGGCATTAACAGTTGCTTTCTTCAAAGTCAAGTTGAAGATAATGAAAATTGGTTGGTCTCTGTACAAGGAGCTAAAAATCAGATTTAGAAAAAAATCTTTCTGACCAGCTTTCTTCCTACTATCATTATAGTTTATCACACTAAATCTGCATGTTTCCTTAACCTGCCCTCTTTCTTGAAGGTATTCGAACAAAATTCTAATCAAGTTATAAATAATTTTATTGAAATAAAGCAAGCTGGCTGATTGTTTCTACACTGCTTGCTTACCCTCCTAAACTGCTGTCTATATTAAGAGGAAGCACAGCACACACAGATAGAGAGCAAATTGTCTAGCTCAAACAATCTCAATTCTAATTTGAAACTGGGTAATAGTTGGTTTCTGTCTGTTCCATTTTCTGTTTGTTTGATTTGTTTTTGAAAATACAAATGTAGGTATTAAGTATGATGCTATTATAGTTGTAAATGCATTAGATCTGAAGCAAAACTGTAAGTTGAGTAGAAAAGGCAGAAATAATATTCAAGGCATATAATTGTATCTGGTAACGCTGAATAGGCTGCAGCATTTATGTGCTTAATTATGTCATGAAAACGTAAATAACTTCCAATTTTCAAAAAGTCACTAAGTTTTTTCTTTATTCATTTGGCTTTTTAAAAATGAATCATTTAATGCATAACATAGTTATAAATAAAACATTCTTTTCTTCAGGTGTTCAGATCATTCATACCTCCAGTTACAGGTGAGAATAAATGTATTTGTTATGATCAGTTTAAAGGAATCCGAAACGGTACTATGCAGTTACAAAACTTGACCAATTGCTTAAATGGTAAGTGCCCCAAGTGATTGAGGGGGATTTTATTTCTTTTTTTCTTCTCTTTTAAGCTTAGGGAAGGATTTAAATAGCTAAATAAATTAATTTCTGGATTTGGCAAATTGCAGTATGAACCTTTTCTGATGATGTTAATGTAACTAAGAATGAACCACTGTTTGTCCATGTGTGTTCGTGATGCTTCAACCACGTAGTTAAGTCTTACTTTTGATTTTCACTTCCTCTCATACCACCTCCACATTCCTTCAGGGGACTGTGAAGAAGATATTCGTCCTTACAGCACAATTTTCTTTTTAATTGAGTTGAACAATGTTTTTATTTCATTTTGAAGTTTCACCACCAGTTATGAAAGTTAGGTGGTTTGCAATAATGCTGCTGCTGACAGTTAGCTCATGAGCGGTTTGATGTGTTTTGCTCATAATCTCTTCACAATCCTGCTCAGAGTTAAACTGACTGCTAGATTTGATCTTACAAGATAGTTTATCCTGACGCTAAAGGAGTTTTACCAAATGAGCAAAATAAACCTTATAAAGACATCAAAAAGACCCAAAGTCTGTTTTTCCTGGCAAGTCTGTTACAAAAGAGTATTAAATATTTCTCTCACAAGAATGTAATGCTGTAATGACATCAAAATCTTTTTTATTGATGCTGTAAAAGGGTTCTTGGTATAAAACACTGATCTTGTGTAAACAAAATGTGCTTTATTTTATGTACTAGAATCTTCCAGTGATATCTGTGGCTTACCTCAGACTACTGCTTCTGTCTATGATGAAATAGTAAGTATGCATGTAAGATTTCATTATCATTGAAAGAATCTGTTCAAGTGTAGAATGTCTGAAATGTGATTTATTGTAAGTGCCAGAGGGTAAAAGCTCTTTTTAAACACTGTCCTATCTGATCTGCTCACAAAAGAGGGGGAAAGAAAAATGTTGCTCCATAGATTTCCTATACTGCTACACTGTGGAGGAAGAAAGAATAGTATCTGGATTTTTTGCTTGTTTCCATTCCTGGTGGCTCCTGTCTGCCACTTGCATATTCTGGTTCCAGTTCAGGCCAGTTGGGGAGCAGGCATCTCCTAAGGCCACGTGAACACAAATGGCTTATAGTGGGACTCTGCCAAACACCCTTTGAGTATCTGATTAGTATTTGAGCCTTTATCACATGTGCAGTGTATAAAAAAGGAACAGAGCTGAGGTTGGAAATATGGCTTTAACATTAGCATCCCCTGCCTATGGAGAAATGTTCTTTGCAACTTATTTATTCTCTTAAAATACTTGAATTTTTCAAATATAATTTCCTAGATAAGTGCAAGACAAATTACAGAAATTCAGGTATTACATGAAAGGGAGATTTCTGAAAATTACTGGAATTTTGTAGCCATGTTTTTCAAGGTTGTCCATTCGGTGTTTTAAAGTGTGTACTGAGAGGGGCAAGGCTTCATCTGGAAGTGTGACTTTTGTGAAGATGACACTGTAATAAGTTAATGGATTGCCGAGATAGGTGATACGTATGTTTTCAACAAATGCAAGTGGCACCACATCTATGATGGAACGCCATGACACACAGTAGTTGATCACCATAACAGAAGTTATTTTGGAACAATCTGATTTATAGGTATAACTGAATTTGCAGTCCAGTCTCAGATGACTACTACTTACTTTTAGACTAAATCCCAATGATCTCCAGTCAAATTATATCATTCAAAACTAATTCTTGTTTTGCATAATTTGCTGTGACTATTGCCTAACTTCTCCAAGGCAGTTTAGAAATCAGTTGATGCTTCGTGATGTTGGAGACACTGAACACCATTGTTACTGTGAAGTATGTTACTGTTCATTGTTATTCTTCAGGAATATATTTACTTGAAATACAAGCAAAAATCATTCTGTCATAGACAAGTGAATTAACTATTCTCGGTATTACATTTGAATACAATCCTTGCTTTAAAATATGTGATTTATGCAGATACATTTTTAAATGTATTGTATTTGCTTGGAATTTTAAGTAGATTTTAAAGCATCCCTGTTAAGATTTAAAACTTTGTATTTCAGGCTGAGGTAAGAGAGACAGTTAGGAATGTTATCGAGAATCACCAAGACAGAGCAATTTTTCAGAGTTCAAATGTTCACGAGTCTGGCTGCAAGTTATTAGCATTGCACAATGTAGCAGAGGAATCCAGATGTTCACACAGAAATGATTCCAACCCTGTGGTAATTATATCCTGTAATTGACAGCAAAATTATATCATAGAGAAAATTAACTTATTTGTACTACTCTAACATCAAGAAGTCCCACTTAGTATGCTGTGTCAAGAATGATAAGGCAGTCCCTTCCTCGGATTCACAGTCTAAATTTTATCTAGTTACAGTGCTACTTTATACGTACATATATAACATATTCTTTTCTATTTAACAGCTGGAAACAAAAGAAAAAAACCAAAACCACCAATGTGAAGATTACTTCATCCAAAGGAATAGTCTTGATTTAAAATCACAACTAACTAAATGAAATGAAACATGAACAATTACAATGACATGTTCTGGTTAGGGAACTGAATCAGAAGCCAGCACACTAGTAAATGGGTAGAATATGCTCTACAAAGCCCCATGGAGTAATTTAGAGAACCAGGAATCTGTATTACATAGGTTGAGGAGCTACAGTGTTAGATCTCAATAGCTGTTTCCAAAAATAAATTAAAATTAAGGGTCAAAAAGCAAACATCTTAATGCATAATGATCCATTTGTTTGAGAGATTCTAGTCTGTGATTATAAAGCTTTATAAGATAGATGGTACCCTTATGAAAACCTTAATATGCTTAGAATTAGTTTCTTAGATGAAAGCTAATCATTAGTTACTCATTCCAGGTTATCTGCCAGTTAGAAGGAGGTACTCAAATACTCTGTATGAACAGTTGTGGCACACAAGAGCTAAAACCAGTTCATCTAATTCCTGAGTATCACAACCAACATCATTATCTTCAATCAGGTACAATAAAAATGAAAATTGTCTTTAGCCTGTCAGATAGTGTATCATAGATTGTTAATGTGCAACTGTGTGTGTTCACGTTCTTAAGCAGCAACAGTGGGAGGCAAGCCAAAGCTAATGTAGCTATCACCAGTTATTATTTTTACTTTGTTCTATAACTGAAAAATTGCCAGGCACTTCAGTGTAATAAGAATGATGTAATAGATATGTTGAATTTATTACAAGTTTTTAATACACAGATTACTTTTCATATAAAGCACATTTAGCATAAGCACCTGCGTACATTTGCATTTACCCCAGCTTGCCACCAAGTGTCACTGTTTCTCTATAAATGAAGAGCAGCGTTGAGGGCTATGAGTATTATTTATCCGTTGGGAGTCAGAATGTCTCACTAATATTTACATAATTGTGTGAACTTAAAATGCCATCAGTTTTTAAAGAAAGTGGTTTCTGAGGTCCTAAAGTTAATGCTATTTAGATAGAGTAACACATTTTCATCTGAGCAGCAACAAAGTATTTGAGTGTAGTTTAGTTTTAAATAAGTATTTATCTAAGTATATCTTCCTCAAAAACATTATTAACATGGTTTGTTTCATTATTTATTATTATAATTTTATTACTGTTGTGTATTTTTATGACAATGCAAAAACAAAGCATTTGATACTAGGCACCATACAAGCACAGCTATTGCTCTCAATATCATGTGCTGAGTGTGAGCATCTCTCAGCAGATGCTCAAGGTATGGATCCTGCTTACTTATATTTTTCAGATGCCATCAGAAGAGTAAACCAGGCACATTCAAGTTAAAGGTCATATTCCTTTATAAAATTCAAACTCTCATTTATTTGCTGTAATATTAAGCAAGAAAAAGCTGAGGGGGAGTGTACTGGTACATGTTTTTTAGTTTTTATTTGCTTGGGCTTTCTTCTGCTTTACTTATCTTCACAGCAAGTAAAAGAATTAGGTCCAGAAATTATATCTAAAAGTTTCTAGGGACTAGTCTCTTCAAGTTTTGAATTAAGCTATCTTTTGGCTTTTTTTTTTTTTTTTCTTTCTTTAGATGTGATGGAAGTACGTACAGGTATAAGATTTATCTTGTAATCTTACTAAGACTGATGTTTTCTGCATAGGCTAGGATGCTCATGTATTTACATGCAATTCTTCACCAGGACTTACACAAAGACTTACTCTTGCAGCTATGGTTTTCTACATGGGTTTTCAGTAATTTTTTTTATAAGCTAAAGACCCCTGTTCCAGATGCTCTCTCAGAACTCTGGAAATTTGTAAAATAAGAATTCAGGATAAATATATTTAATTGTTTCTGACATTTTTCTTATTTTATCAAAATATTTTAAGTCAGTCATTTGAATTTAAAGGTACTTGATCTCATAGAGTAAAAACATCCTGTGCTCAAATTCCTAGCTGACAAATTGGTGGCGGGTTCTTCTGTCAGGGGCATTTTTGTGTGGTCAAGTTTTTCTTCTTTTTTTTTTTTTTCAATGAGAAAAACATTTCTGGAGAGAAAAATTCTAGGTCCTTCATTGACACTATTTATTGTAGAGGTAGGAGAAAGTGCTAACAGAGAACAGACAGCCTCAGGTAATTTTTTTTATTAACAAAAGAAATTGAAGGTACCAATTTGCCTGTATGCTTAATTCAAAAAATATTTATGCAGAAATGAAACTTTACATACTGTGAGTAGTTCTGCTATCTTCAGGTCAATATCTTCTTTTCAGATGTGGACAACCCTGTACTGGGGCAGTTTTTGCCTGTTCCAGGTGAACTGGTTCTGAATGAACAAGAGGTAAAGAAGTTTTATCCTTTAAACTTGTTAAGTACATTATACACTCTTTTTCCTTTTTTTAAAATGAGTTGTTAAGTCTATGTTGGTAAGTAACAATTGTGTGCATTTTCTAAAGACAGTTTAGCTAGCTTGGATAGATTAGTTCTGCACTCAGTATACTTTCTGCACATAAAGGTTTCTGATTTCAACATTTTCTAGAAGTAATACCAGAATTAAAAATACAGTTTGCTGTAAGAAAAATAAATTTATTCCAGTTTTGACACCTTGAATTTGGTATTGTATAGAGTATGTTATTTCTGAGAACCATTTTAAGACTCTTTTGGGATGAAAGAAAGCACATTGAGTTTTACCAGATGAAAGGGAGTATTTTCTTCCAGTAGGATTTTTTACTCTCTTTTCTTTCGATTAGAATTTAACAGTCATTAAGTCTTTATGATTTTTTTTTTCAATTTTGTTGATGAAAATTGAACAGAAGCCTAAAAATCTTTGCGAATGTTTTGTTTCTCAGGTGTTACTTCTAGCAGAGCTGGTAGCAAAAATCGCTGCAAATTTTTAATTGTTAAATTTTGATTTGTGTAAAGTGAATATGTGATGTTGGTGCAAACACAGCAAATGGTTTGTGGATATCAGCCACTATCATAAAAGACGGATAAAAACCCCAAGGGTCAGATCAAACAATGACCTAGGGAGTCTTTCATCTCTAACGGCAGTATATCTGCAAATTGATGCCTAAACATTCAGCAATGATGTAGATAAGTCTTGTAATTCTTCGCTAACTTTATCCCAAATGAGTTGTTTCCTAGATTTCTTCTCTTGCTTTAAATATAGTAATTTTTCTCTTCTTTATGCTCAGCTAGAGTAATCACATATTAAAATAACAGTGATTTAGAATTGTTCACTGTCCCTCCATTACCAGTAATATCAGCATCATTCTAATTGTTCTTCCCTTGTCTCTCTCCATAACCAGGCCCTTATTAATCATATGTCTGAAGAGACAACAGATCTGCAGTGTGTTTTCTTAGCTTGTGAGCTTAGTCTTCAACCAATTAGATGTGATATTGTAGTTGAACATAATGTAAATTATCAAGTCACTAGCCAGTTTCAATTGACTACTGGAATTAAAAGCAACTGAACCTAGAATTATCAGTAAATTGAAAATAGTGCACGAACACTGCAGCACTGAAAGCCGTTCTTGGTTCTTTGCATTGGGAGAAACAGGATTCCTGGCATACTGAATGGTTTCCAAGAGGAGATGCATGCTGTTTTCATGACTCTCTACTTCCATGAGTTTATACTAGTAACCTTGGCAATCAAATTATCCCTGAAGCAATTTCTTTGTGTTACTTTTTCTCTGTTAACTCACAAGATTATTTTTTAAAAGGTTAACATGAACAGGATATATGCATTTTATCTTAAACAGTTTGAAAATGGACCCTTACAACCAGTAGCTAGCACCACCACATTCCATCTAGAATCAAATCTGCATGGGCCAGTGAAAATGACCTCAGAGGGGTAAGATGCATGAAACATCTTACATCCATGATGACTTGAATTTTAAACGGGCAATGACTCCTAGACATTTTTGTGTTGCATAGCTGCTTCTCTCTTGTAACAAACCAGCAGTTCTGTAAGAATGCTGTGTGTATATATCTTGGTAGTCAGAATGCTAGCTGCTGGCGGTCAAGACTATGTAGCAGGGTTTTCTTAGGATCAGTGCAATTGTGCTGTCCATTTGCCTGAAAAACATTTAATTTTCTAGGTTAATTGATATGTTTCCAAATGTAATTAGCAAGTGTTCAGCCTGTATTTCTAACTCTAGTGGAATTCTTTTAATAATATTTAGTTGCAGATTATTTTTAAATAAGAGGTGATGCAACCCCAGTGTGAAAGGTGAGACAGCTTTGCAGTTGCACAACCATTACTAGGTTGTATGACTAAGGGCTGACCTGTCCCAAGTAGTGACAGCTGGTGGATAGAGTGAGATTACAGATTGCTTATTCTCTTTTTCTCATGTACTCTGTGAGGCCACACTTGTTAAGTAGCACCAATATGGGTGTAAAAAAATAGAATCGGTATCTATTGTTTCAAAACTACAGAATAATTAGTTTTCATTTTAGTTGTATTTGTATGTTTTTTCTAATTTTTTCCCTTTTCAACTTGTGTAGCTTACCTTTTGGTTCAGGGGTTACAAAGTCTAAGAAAGCATGTAACTGCACAAAATCTCAGTGTCTTAAATTGTAAGTAATAGTTTATCAACATTTAATAAATGCTAATAACAGTGTATAGATGAAAGGACAAACAAGAAATGTGTGCTTTAAAATGAACTGGATACATGTGTCAAAAATTACTTGTCTGACACTGAGTTAGAAAGACCCACAGTTTATGTAAATTAGTGTCAGATAAGCTCAGAATTTGGTGCAGAGGTGTAGATGACTGCATATAATCCAAAGTATGAAAAATAAAAAGAGAAGCTAGAAAATTGTTCAGAGCATATCTGGAAAATCCTATGTACAATGTAAATGCTGTATACTGAAATATAATTTCTCTGTCTTGCTGCTGCTCTCATACATAAATAATATTCACAGAGACATGTATACATGATAATTAAAGTTTGATTCATGGATGGTCTGGTTGTATTTTACAAAATGTAAAATTGAGAGAGAGGCTCTTTGTCTAGGTTTGATGTGATTAAATTACAGAGGAAGGAACATTTTTCATGAGCAGAAACTGAACATTCTGCCTAGAAGTAGAATTTAAATTTAAAAATTTACACTTTATTGTAAGTATTTTTACACTTTTAATTTCTTATGTTACTTTACATGTTAATCATAGATATTGTGATTGCTTTGCCAATGGTGATTTTTGCAACAACTGCAACTGCAATAATTGTTACAACAACCAACTTCATGAAACTGAGCGATTTAAAGCCATTAAGGTAAAAAAAGAAAAAAGTACAGTACACATTAGTATCAGCTTCATGTATGAAAAATATAGCGGTATTGGTTTTTCCACTAGTTACAGTATTTGAAATATGTTATTTTTAACATAAATAAAGCTAAGTGTTGCCCCTGTATTATTCTTAACATAAGGAAATTTAGGGATTTCTTTCCTTTGTGTAGAACTTCTGATACTTTGGATTACAACTAGTAATGTGTTAACTGAATGATAATTTTTATTCTTGGAAGTAAGTATTCAAACCCAAATTTAATTTCAGAATTTTAACTCGAAGGAAAACTTATTATATCCCAAAGTCAGCCAGTAGTTAAAGGAAAACAAATTATTATTATTATCCAAATTATTATTCTCATTGACAGATCTTCCACAGTTGTCTGTGTTAGTCTTTCTGGTTGACCCATGCAGCAATACAAAGTTGGCTTTCCTGGCAGCAACACTTAACCCTGCACTAGTGAGAAGCAGGTTGCTTCTACATCTACTAAAATCTACTGATTTTATTAGTGGAATAAAGAATACTATGTGGGGTAATTTTTGTGTGTATATCAAACTGCAAAATCTGGGCAATTATTTAATCTAATATGTATGTTACATTTTGTAAGTTTTAAAGTGATAATGAAAAGTTTTATTCTACTGCTGATGCTTTAAGGATATATTAATGGCTTTGTGCTTCTTGTATGCAACTCTCCAGAACTCTTTTTGTATCACTCACATCATTTCAGGATTGTACAAGATGTTGATCTATTTAGAGGTAGAGCTTTCCCACATCCAACCAGTCAAAGCCGCAGCAGTTTTTGCTGTCAATATGCAACAACTAGTTTTCAAATGAGATGCTCATCTGTAGATCAGCTGATGGGGTTGTTGGTGTCTAAGCACTCCTTTCACTGCTGTAGACAGCATCTTGTAGAGCATAATAGATCTTGTTTGCCACTGATGAAAGCATACCTGTGCCATCCCTAAATATTGTAAATAAAGGGCGTATAACCTCTTTAACCTGCCTTTTAGTTAGTCCATGGCATTGTGAGGTCTTGGGACCTAATTAAAAACTGCTGTTCCAATCCAATGCTGATTTCAGTGAATGGTCTTTGTATTGGGCCATTAATAAAACAAGATACATTTAAAACTTCTGAGGGGTATGTAGCTATGTAGGCAAGGGTTCTTTCTTCACTGAGAACTTACTGTTTCTGGTGAAAGTAGCATCAGCAGTGAAAGAAAACCAGTCCCAGGAGAATAGTAGATGGGTCATTTAGGTTATTCCATAAAAGCAATGTAAGTTGCTTCCTGTGGTAGAGCCAAGTTGGCTTAGTGTTCTGGAATCTTTGAATTTCTGCTCTCACATGCCATGGAAGACTCCTTTATCCATGGGTTTCATACCACCAATAATGTGAGTGGGAAGTAAGAACTTCTTTGTTAAACATTGGACCACAGTCATTCAGGTGTTTAAAAACATTTCTTTGAATTTCTCATCATCTAGCAATTTTTGTTTTAGGCCTGTCTTGATAGAAACCCAGAAGCTTTCTTACCAAAGATTGGGAAAAGGAAACTAGGAGAAATTAAACCTCACCATAACAAAGGATGTAATTGCAAGCGCTCAGGATGCCTCAAGAATTATTGTGAGTGCTTTGAGGTGAGTCAGGTGAACTTCCCTCTCATCAGTTACAATTTTAACATTGACTATATTCTATAACTACTGGTTGCTAAAAATAATTACTTCTCTTCTTTGCATTTTTGATCGTAAAACTTTTTGAACACAGGAGGCACATCTTTCTTGTCATGTCTTTAAAGAACTGAATCTGGCTGAAGTTGATCAGTTAAATTTTTTGGTATCAGGATTCTCAGCCTATGCCTTGCTCCAGAAGAACCAAGGAATGGTTATCTTCTAATCCTGCTAGTTTCTTTGCATCTATGGTATTTTTGTTATCTTGCAAAGTTATCCACAAATTGAGGGGAGGAGTGATTTGTCCATGTACAGAACATCAATCTTCATGGGGAATCCATGGGAAAAAACCTGTCTTGCTTCCTTACTGTATTGATACTGGTAGTCTCACTCTGGGAGTATCCAAGACCAGCATGTCTAGAATAAGTCTTTGGTGGTATGAGCTCCAATAGTTGCTCAAATGTATGTTTAATTTAAGATTTATACAATTTTTATTATAAGTATTCTATATTTGCCAGGCTAAAATTATGTGTTCCTCTATTTGCAAATGCATCGGCTGCAAAAATTACGAAGAAAGTCCAGATGAAAAAGAACAGTTGAATGTGCTAAACTACACGGACATTGGAAATATTAAAGGAAATAGCTCAGTTTTAACTTCAACATTCAAAATGTTACAAAAATTGAAGACAGACAGGTGAATATTTGGAAATAGCAATGAATAAGCCATTGGTCTGACTTCATTAATTTTTCATGTAACCATTATAATTATCTAAGAAATGGTGACTAAAATGGTAGATGGCTTAGGTGCAAGGAATCACTTCACATAGCATTTGTCATCTTGTTTCTATAAATAAAAAAAATGAAGGAGACGCTATAACTATCCTTTAAGAATATAGTATACAGAGTTCAGGGATATATGTAGTAGTTCTGCTTACAAAACAGCAGTTATTTATGTATTGATCACATATTTAATTCTCTCAACTTTTTCCCCCTTAGCTACTTTATGTTTTTCCTACAGTGCTTCTGTTCTTAAATTTTTCTGTGTTCAAGCATTCATTTCTAACAAAACCTTGACCGAAGTAGTACTAAGAAAATTATGTTATTAATATGTATGTGATGTTCAATTAATAAGCATGTTTATATCACTGCTTCTTTCCCATGTGTTTTTCCTTTGGTTCACCTCCTGTCCATTTTATTAGTGTTGGCAATTTGTTTTTTAAAATACTCTAAGAAGGCCATACTAAAACAGTTGTTATGCTTCTGATGTCGTTATGCTTTCTAAAATCTATTTTTGTTTGGTGTATAGTCATTTGCCTTATGAATAGAAACACTTGTTAATAACAATTAAAATTAATTAAACCACCTCTTAATTGATTTTAGGGAGCTTTACTCCAGGCTATAAAATTTTCACTTTGCATACATCATTTTCTTTGCTGCTTTGCATCAACCATTACCTTGAAATTCTTATCTTAATTCAATTTTTTAAAATACTTTCTATTTATCTATTTTTAAAATAGTTTCATAGTTTCTGCTGTTGGTAGTGTATTGATGGGGTAGATGGTGCCAAGTTATGCCTTTGAATTGCACAGTAGGATGAGTTATGTTATTAATAAAGTAGAATAAGTTATGATGTTAATGACTGGTAGTTTCAAGAGTTTATTCAAAGCAAGGCTGCTAAGGTGCCATTCAGGGAACCCTTGAGGGGCTTCGTACTGTTTCCTTTAACAGCAGTAGACTGAATTTACATTTAGTACCTCCTAGACCCTGACTAAGCCTTTTTAACACATTTTCTTGTACATGAGGCAGGATCTGACTATTGCATACAGGTAGGGGAAAAGGCTTGTTGTATAACTTTTCTCTGTCTGCACCTGTTGGGCAGCATTTACATGGATTAATTATGTAGTCTGAACATAGTCTTTCATGGGATCAATCAGAAAAACTGAGAAGCAATCTGTTAGAAGCAGAAGCTGTTCAGTGTAGAACAGCGAAATTCCTACAAAGATGTATCTTACAGTAACAGTGCAGCTACTCTGATTCAGCTCTGTGAATTCCAACTCTTAACTGAGTTTTGCAGTTTGTCTTTTAAATTATTTTTATGTTTAAAATGGAGATATTTCATAGTAGTTTCTTTTCCTTTGTCAGGCAACCAGCTGTATGTATATCTTGGGAAGAAGTGAAAGCAATATGTGCTTGTCTTCTGGTGCAAGCTGAAGAGGCAGAAAAAAGAGGTTACTCTCTCTGTCTAGCTGAACGAATGATCATGGAGGAATTCGGGAGATGTTTATCCCAGATCCTACATGCGTAATGAAAATCTAAAGGACTGAAATAATGTTCAATGTATTATAAAGCCAATAAGATTGATATGTTCCCATAGTCTCCACAATTTTGCTACTTAATGATCTTATTTTAATCTTCCATAGGAATAATTTCATTGACTTCAGCTGAATTCTTTCTGAATTATGCTGGTGTAAGTGAAACCAGCACCACATCCAGCATTTTTCCCAAGTAGTTTAATACTGTAGAAAGCTTATTATATTTTCTACTAAAACAGATTTTCTCTGTAGTTAGGGCTTTCTGAGCTGATTTTTCAGTCTTTACCTAGACTCTTATTAAAAGTGAGTTTAACTTAAAATTACTTTATTGGATGTTTTTGTGAGTGGAGATGCAGTAAAAACTGAGTAAGAGTTTGCTATCTTAGTTTAGTTATTTTATTGTGAAACAAATTTTATTGTGAAACAATTCCATTTCCAGTGGTGATAGGCAAATCTACTAAGTTTAGCTTTGGGTCTCTCTGTTTTGGCAACTTATGTCTGCCTTCTGCAGATGTACTATCTTTTTGAAAACAGAGCAATGTTGTCGGTAGGTTTGATATTTACTTTTGGAAACCACTCCTCTACCAGACTTTGTTCAACATGAAATTCGTTAGACAGATGAGCATCATAAACAACAGGAGGAAGATGACCTCCTTTTTACTGCTGTTGTAAAGTACAAGAGTTTGTGATAGGAAAAAAAATTTATGTACATAGCATTTATGATTGAAAATTGCTGAATCCTACATATGCAATCCAGGTTCCCTGAAAGCTTGGAAGGGCTTTTAATTATTTATTTTTCTTACGTGGACATTTTCTCTGTGACATTTCTTCCTCTTCTCATTCTCAGTGTTGGGGTGATGGTACATTTTATTTTCTCTAACAGGAGTAAGCTATTTGCTGCCATGTTTCTGGAAAAGAAAAAATTTTAAAAATTGTCATATAAATGAATTGACAGATTATATAAAAATGAATGCTCTCTGGTTTTAGATATTTTATGCTAAGTTAATAATATATGCTTAGATATGTTTGGCATTTATGCTTAAAAGAATAAAGATATTCTCCATGTCATGATGATTCATGAAAAATTCTTGCCAAGACAGCAGGTGACACTTTGTGCTATTTTAAAATTCTTATTTAATAACAGGGAGGGCTTTTTTATTAGTGGTAGTTGATATGTGAATGAATTGCATTTTATATCTTTGTTTTTAACAACTGCTGGACATTGCTGAAGGTCACAGGAGAAAATGGATTCTCAAAGTGTCCATAAGTGGCACCATCTGTACACTTCATCCTTTCCTTGGCCCTTTAATTCCTAAGATGATTTCTCTTTGTTTTGGAGTTAATACCTACATGAATGCATCATCTTAAAAAGTATTTGTCGCCAGGTAGAGTTACTATGAGATCATAAATTAGAAGAGCAGACAAGGGCTGTAGAGTCAGTAGACACTCCATAAGGAAGCAAAGCATGAAGAAGAAACCAGCCTGTACTGCTAAATCATGCCTTGAATTCAAATCTCAGAAGTCAACTGAATAAGATTCATAGTGGAGGTGAGGTTCAGTAGGATTAACACTAGTAAACAAGAAACTAGAGTTAGGACTAGTGATGTAAGTATGGATTGAAAATAGCAATTAGGAATGGAAATGTAAAATAAAATTTAAAATTATTGGGAGGAGTAGAAAAAGATAAATACATTGTAAGAGGAAATGTTAGAATCCTTGAAAAAATGAATTTAGTGTAATACAGTCTCATCTTCAGATGCATCTTAATTTGAATACATACAGCAGGAGACAATGCCATAATATAAAATGGCAAGTTATTAAGCCCAAAAGAGAGATGAGTTCAAATGATGAGAAAGAAACAATTAGGAAGAAAAATCACAGGATTTTGGCTATTCAAGAGGTTGGAAAATAATAAAGGGGAAAAAATCACAGGGAAAATTTAAAAGAAATAATACATAGAATTAAAATGGAATTAGAGTGGGAAAGATAAGAAAATTCTACCACCAACAGTAAAGGGTAGGAGTGCAGAGGAGAGCTACAAATAGCACAGTAAGGGAAATAAATGAAGAAGACATGAGCTACAGCTTTGAGTAACATCCGTAGGCTCTCATCTCTGATAAACATGGTATATATAATGCTGACTTTCACCCAGGGTGCCAGCTAGGAAGCCTTGAGAGAAGGCTTCTGCGTTTTCTGCATACATTTTGAAGTCACCATATAAATCATGGAATCGTAGCATTGTTTTGGTTGGAAAAGACTTTTAAGATCATAAATTCCAAACATTAACCTAGCACTGCCAAGTCCAACCACTAAACCATGTCCCTAAGCAGCATATCTACACGTCTTTTAAATACCTCCAGGGACAGTGACTCAACCACTTCCTTGGGCAGCCTGTTCCAGTGATTGACAACCCTTTTGGTGAAGAAATTTTTCCTAATATCCAATCTAAACCTCCCCTGGTGCAACTTGAGGTAGTTTCCTCTTGTCCTATCACTTGTTACTTGGGAGAAGAGACCAACACCCACCTGGCTACAACCTCCTTTCAGGTAGTTGTCGAGAGCAATAAGGTCTCCCCTCAGCCTCCTTTTCTCCAGACTAAACAACCCCAGTTTCCCCCAGCAACTCCTCATTAGACATGTTCTCCAGACCCTTCACCAGCTTCGTTGTCCTTCTCTGGACATGCTCCAGCACCTCAATGTCCTTCTTGTGGTGAGGGGCCCAAAACTGAACACAGTGCTCAAGGTGTGGCCTCACCAGTACCAAGTACAGGGGAACAATCACTTCCCTAGTCCTGCTGGCCACACTATTTCTGATACAGGCCAGGATGCTGTTGGCCTTCTTGGCCACCTGGGCACACTGCTGGCTCATATTCAGCCGGATGTTGACCAACACCCCCAGGTCCTTTTCCGCCAGGCAGCTTTCCAGCCACTCTCCCCCAAGCCTGTAGTGTTTCCTGGGGTTGCTGTGACCCAAGTGCAGGACCTAGCATTTAGCCTTATTGAACCAATAAGACAGTCATTGAAATTAATATCAATTTGATAAAAAAAATACAAGGCAATAGAATATGTAAAAGATTACACTGACGCAATAATTAAAAAAAAAACTACTAGATGTAAAAAGCTGAAATTGTTTATCTTTTTTCAATACAGAGAGGTAAACCTGGTTTGATTTAATATTTTTTTATATTACAGATGGTATAAACTCAGTCTGAAAAAAACACTCCCAGGCTCTGTGGTGACTAGGATAGTAATTATATTCTGAACACAAAAAATTAAACACTAAGCAGTAGTTGGTAATATATAATGTAATAGACAAGCCTAGCAAAAGCAATTTCTATAATTGTTAAGAAACTGAAAAACTCTGTCAAAGAAGACAATAAAGAAAGCTAAAGCTATCTTTGTGCTTTTACAAGTAATGCTTTTTTGTTGTCAGTGGTGAAATTATTTGAGAACAACATTGACACAGCCACAGATTTCTTCCTGAAACAGTCAGGTAGGAAATATGTATCAGTTTCCTTAACTAATTGTAGCCTTTTTTATACTAAATCAAGGTTTGATTTCATATCAAAGGTGAAAAACTTTGCAGAAAAACATTAACTGAATAGCATAGGAACATGTGGGTACTATATTAGGGGGAAAATAGCTTTTCAAATAAGTTGATAATTTGCCTTTCTGTTTCATACAAGGATCTTGAACATTAGATACTAATAAATGGAACTTCTTCAAATGGCTTTCTGTGAAGAAGAAGAACTAAGCAGAGTTGCCTTCAGTCACTGCTGCTTTCTCTAGCAAAGAAACCCTGGCCCCAGCAAATAAATAAATAAAAAGGAAAAGGATAGCTAAGAAATGAAGCATGGATATCAGCTATTGTTCTGTTCTTGGTAATGGATATTTTTTCTTTTAACAGTATTTTATCTTTTGTTCAGTTTCTGAATATGATATTATGATATATCAGAAATATATGATATTCATGTTTCTGAGGAAAACCAAGCACACCCATGGATTCATAACTTTATGAACTACTTACTTACATTTTAACCTTGCAGATAAAACACAAAGACCTTTTTGAAATCAGCAATGTGTCAGTCTCATCTGAAAATAACAAGAAATATTCATCTTTCAAAAATAGCTAAGGACAGAGATTATTTTGATAGGTACAATTGTGAAGTTACTTAAAGCAAATGTTGGCACCAAATGTTTTTTCTCTATTTCAGTTTTTACCTACAGGTACATCAGACAGAACTCTCAAGGCCTGGTTTTCAAGATCTTCAGTGCAGAGACCAGGGGTCAGCACATTAAAATTATTTCAGAGAGGTCTCTGAAATTCAGAAGTTCAGACACTTCTAAGAGGTCTCTCTTAATCATACATGCAGTTCAGTTTAAGTATGTTATAATGTGGTATATGAGGTCTTATTTAGAAGTATATATTGGCACAGATAAAAATTATGTGGGGAGCTGAATTTCTCATGTATATATATTGGATGAGAGAAGCGAAACATAATACAATCCACTCCATGAGATCTTTGCATAAAAATTGAAAGTTGCTCTCTGATGCATTCCCTATTACTTAAATTTGGAATTTGTCCCTGTTTGATTGGAGCAGGTATCATCAAATTTAGTCAACTATTCTTAAGGATCTTAGAGATTAAGTGTTTCCCTTCCAATTTACAGATTAAAAAAACTGTAACATTCTAACAAGAGACCCCTTCTCTTTTTAAACTACTTGGTCCATTTAAGAAGCTGAAATACATGGACAGAAGAAAAAAAGGGTAAATGTCAAAAGAGCCCCAATTTTAATAGAGAGCAGCATGCAGAGGAATATGAAAGCAAATGAAGGTATGAAAGACATACCTTGGAAAGAATGGCAGCTGGAACAAAGTAGCGAAGTGTAAGAAATAACTTCTAATTTTATAGCTGTTTTGCATCAGTTTGAGGCAAGAGGAGGAAAAAAGAAATATATGAATTATATGGTGAATCACAAGGTGACTCTAAGC